CAAGCGTAATTAGCTTATTTTTGTTTGAATTAATCAAAGTTTCATATATATTTAAGTTGTAATTGTTTCTTAAACTTTTCGTCCTGCTTTTTCATTGTAAAAAAATGGTCACCTTATCAATGAAGGAATATTTTTGAGATTTTAGAGTAACAAGAGTTGCGAAATTCTCACGTTCACGCCTAGAGATGTGTGAGGAATGGAAGGAACACTAACCATATTAAGAAATACTCTATTTATTTGTCACACAAGCAAAAACACAAGTTCAAGTAATCTTAAATAAGAGATGCGCGCCCAATCGAAACAATATGTGGTTAAATAACGAAAACTTTAAATACCAAAGCACTTACTTCAGGTTTGAATCTATTATCCTGGCTATCTAAACTCTATTCAAACGTTAGGGAACAATCGTCACTTAAATTATTACAATTATCAAATATCTGAATTGTACTATAAATTGGATTAATACCTGATTACTAGCAATCTATCCTATCTCCCTCACTTTCTCTCTTCTAGCTTATTTGCCTAGACCAGGGATGTTGAACCAGTGACACGCGACATAATATTTTGGGCACGCCAGCGATCAAAATTTTTTTTTGCATTTTATTTCAAAATATTAAAGTTCATAATACTTCAGAGTGAAAAAACGCGAGTGATCGGTCACAGAACGGCTGGGAGCACATTCGTTTGTTATTGTCTTGCCTTGGTTACGTCGGGAACTACAGTTGCTTATGATGCAAAATTTGTCTACGCGTAGCATAGTCAATTTCGTTGACGCAACTGTATTTTAAAGTTTATTTATGTTATATTTACGATTTTTAACTATTATTTTTAACATGGATAGTTCAGCAAAAGAACAAAAAGTGTAAGATAGTAAGTGTAACGGAGAATTTTAAACTTGGTGAGTTTAGAAATATGCCTTTATTAGTAAAGGCAAGAAAGCAGCGTGTTTTTTGTTCTGGAATAGTGGTATGCAGAGCATCGTCTGTAAAATAGCATTTTGAAACAAATCAAAAATCTCCTTGTCGAAAAAGTGAACCACAGCAAAAATAATGAATTGCTTATAAACTATTTGGCAAGTGACTCCAATTCTCTCTCTCTCAACATGTCTTCTATTAAAAGATATGTCTTTACAATCCTAATATGTCATCCAATCTGCAACAACAGAAGTCACACTAATGTTACTTTAATTTGAACACAACTCGCATAACTAAAACATTCGCAGCTATACAGTAAAAAAGGTATTTTTTCGTAGTAAATACTTTTGAGATGTTAGTATTTAGTTTTATAGTTTTCCCAATAGTCATACAAGTCAAAATTATTTGACGGCTCGTCCATATTTCATTCAACACTTCTTTATAAAAAATGGCACGTTGATCCATAAGGGTTCACCACCTCTGGCCTAGACTATAAATCCGGGGTGGGCATTAAGTCGATCGCAAACGACCGGTAGACCACCAAGACATTTTGGAGTGTTCGCCATCACTAAGACCTAAGACTTGCATTCTTAAAGAAACGTATTTGTGGAACACCAACGCCAGTTAGACTGGGGAATCAGCTTTTCACAATTCAAACGACTATATGTAGACGACCCATGTACCATTATTGGAAATGCACGATGGCGCTTAACAGATTCTCTGTCATCATAGGGGAAAAAAGCGATCATTACGATGTCAGCCGTATAAACGGGTTTTCTCCCAAATGCCGACTAAAAGGGAAAATAAACATTGATTAGCTCTTCCGGCGATAACACGGGGTTGGCTACTGAAACATCACCCCACAACCCTACACTTCCACAGGATTGGATTCTTTGTTGATGTTACGTCCGCGATGACGTTGTAACCAGAAGCTACCGTGATAAGTATAAAATGACACTGACAGATTCATCGGTTCACGTACATTCGCTGCATTGAAAATGTCCACGATTTAGCAGTTGCTCATAGTTGTTCAAACATTCAACTCAAAATTTTTGTGTTATTGTAGTAAAAGTAGTAATCTGTAGTAATTTGTAGCTATTATTATTATGTTTGTATCTTGCGCCTTGCTTTAATCGTGATTTTAAAAGTGTAAGTTCTTATTTTATTGCAGTTATGTAGGGAAAAAGTACATATTCCGCATTTATTAACAAGTTATAATAAATATTCTAGACATTTATTTTTTTTTTGCTCCCACAGTTATACCACTAGGTGGACCGTAATACCTTGAAAATATTAAATGTAGCCTGTACCCTAGAAAAGTCTGCCCACCTCTGCTATACATAATAGACCAAATTTAAATAATCAGGTTTTCTTCTTCAGAAGGTTTGTTGAGAATAAAATAGATTTAAATGACCAAAGAGATTTCCCAAGAGGACTTGTTATAATGAAGGACGCGGATAAAACCGTCACAGAATGTTAAATAAAAGCACATTTTTTGATTGCTGCATCAATAGTTTTTTTTATGATAAAAAAATTGCTTAAAAAATTAGGTAGAAAAAGCGATAATCCTTCTAATAAACGAATTTAACCCATTTAATTCCTTAGAAATTATTTTCTGAAGTCCTTTTAAAACGATAAAAAAAAAAAACGTCTCGAGTAACAGGAATTGATAACTATCTTGAACGTTACTGACACTTTCGTCTGATTTTGCATTCATTACCTCAATTTTGCATTCCGTGCGTAGGTCAGTGGTTAAAAAGATTTTGTTGTAAAAAATAAATGTAATTCTCTCTTTTGAAACATTGTTTCTCTTTCGTTGGATTCTCGTGTAATTAAAATGCAGCAGCAAGATTTAAGTTGAAACATTGGTGAAATAAGGCTTATTATGTAAATGTGAAGGGAAAAAAAAGTTTAAGAAGATTGTATCATTTTTATAAAAATTTGGTAACATAGAGTGACCTTTTTGAAAATTTTATTTAAAAAAATTAGAAAAAAGAAATAAAATATTTTGCAATTTAAGTTTTTTTAAAAAAAATTATTAGAAGCTCAAGTGTTTCCAAAATTTATGTTTTCGAAGTCAATTTACGGAATATTGAAAAATAAATCATATGCAAAGAGTTACTTTTAAAACAAAATATAAAGGAAATAATACCTTATAATCTGTTACAAAATTTGATCTTTTTCTTAAAAGATTTAAGAAGTGTATTGGAAAGTTTTACTGTACAATGTAATATTATGCATAATGTTGTGTTATGGATATATATATATATATATATGGTCAGTGGTGATGGCCGAGGCTCAAAAACAATAATCTGCCTTCAATTGTGACGGATCTATTCGCGTATCTTCTCCTCTAACCCTCTTGGGAAATCTTTGGATTGTCAATTCGCGTTATTTACAACCAAGCCTTCGGAAGAAGAAATCCTGATATGAAAATTTCGTTTACTATATACAGTCGAGGTTTTCTAGCTAAACGAGAATAGGAATGGACGTAAACCAGAAGTCAGGTGAGATTGTTACTGACAGGTATCATTAGTGAATTATTATGATTAAATATTTATTAGGGGAAAGATTTAAAGTGACAATTGTTCACTGAGATTAAATTAATATTAGATTAAATCGGATAACAGATTAGATCCTACATAAAGTAAGGATCGAGTTTAATAGTCTCCTAATCATTCATGTATTTCGTCGTGGTTCCGCTTTCGCAGTTAGCACCGAGACATTCTCTTAATGTTATTAATTTAATTTGTGTCGTTATATTGTGTGATGAATAAATTGATTGATTGGATCATGGCTGGTGTTTCTTCCCTACCTCCTACATATCTAGGTGCCCAAGAGAGAGGCGAAGACCTCTCACACAGTTACTTTTACATTTTATTGTTCATTACTATTTACATAATATTTAATTTACATCACAGGTCGTAGTTTAAGTCATGTCTTCAAATCCCAATCGTCTTCTGTAGTTTCTAACAGACATGAAACGTTATCGTCGTTCTTCTCGTCATTTTCCGATTCACGGCGTCGTTCGCTCGAGCTTCTAAAAACTAGCAGTAACTAACTGAAGCGCTCTTAGATATGCACTGGATAGTTGACGAAGTAGTTCGGCAATAGCAATTGGCGCCATATATATATATAATTTTACCCAGAGTAAAAATTGAATTACGATATCTTGAACTACTTTTCGTATAGTTACCACTGACATTTAATCATTTCCTGTCACGTGATAACTTTTTGAGGGAACCATACTAGAGTAAAACTCGGTGCCTTGCAATGCAAGGAATTATTCCACAGTCATCTCTATTCCAGCATCGTTTCGCTGGACAACTTTTATACTTCCACGTCTTTGAGGTGTACCATGTCCAACACTCTGGCAGTATTGTTTTCAGTTATAGATCTGGAGGGATACCCATTTCGATCTTCCTCTTTCCCATTCTGCCTTCCTTCATTTAACATGTAACACCAGTGACTAACCATTTGATGTGACAGGATTTTCTTACGTACGGTTTTTAGGCGCTCATGGATCAGAGACACACTGATCTTAAAAGTCAATTCATACCGAATAACAGAACACACTTCCGTTGGCGATCAAGTTGTCAGCAGACTTCTGCCAGCTATCGTGAATTGTTCTAAAATTACCTCGGACGAACCTTTCTGCTGCTACTCTTTTCTCCTTCAGCACTCTGCGCATGCGTCATCCTTCCAACAATGACGCTCCTTCCGTCGATTAACCAGTATCGAATGTAGTTTCTTATGGGGATTATTTGTTTCGCATGGTATACTGTCTTATCTTAACAAAAAACAAGCAATATAAAAAAAAATAAGTCTACTGTTTCTTAGATCAACAAAGAAATATTTTATTTTAGTTTCTTTTTAGTACATAGTTACAATTAATGTAAATATGTACATACATATGACAGAATCACAATAGTAAATGGCAAAATAGAAAGCGATTTTCCTTCCTATATATATGGTGGATCATTTTTTGTTTGTGTGTTATATTATTTATATATTCATTAATAGTAAATATAATTATTCTAATAAAATATTATAGTAAATAAGAAATCAAATTCTCAGAAACAAGGCTATCCCAGGTGGGATTCGAACCCACCACCTTCGGATTAGAAGTCCAACACTCTATCCATTGAGCAACAGAGATACAACGAATGGTTTTCCTTTCTATATATGCTGTTGGATTAATATTTTTGTTAGTATTTATTCCTTTTTTAATTTAATTAATGAATTAATATTTGAAAAAGCTGTATTAATATCAAGCGTCACCTACTACATGTTTAAAAAATGTATTTGAACTTGAATAGGTGAAAGGAAAATATTTTATTAACGATTGAAAATTTGAATAAGATGTATATACAGTGGCGCACACAAGGGGGTGGGTCCTGGGGGTCCGACCCCCCGAAGCCCTTGATTTTTTTCCGATTGATCATAATTCTAAGTATATAGTACGTAAAATTTAATTAAGTATCTGTTATTAATGATAAATCTGATTAATTAATGCTAATTATTTATTCAATCATTAGTTTTTTTCTGTGAAAATCGACAAAATCAAAAGGAACATGTTACAAGAAAGTGAACTTTCGACCCCGCCCCCCGTTGAAAAATTCCTGTGTGCGCTACTGTGTGTATATATATACACTGGTGTGCAAAAAATTAAGGACGAAGTCGAAAAATTAGCATATCAGCTGAACGAAGAGGCAGAGCGGACAGAAAGACCACTCAGGAGATTAAGTAAGGTGATGTACGGTAAAATCACATGCGCAGATATGCAGGTAGACGTAATGGGGGAGTGTCTGTGTAGTATAAAGCATGTTGTCGGTGTAAGATCCAGTATTTCTGGCAAAGAGATTGCACGCTGTATAGCAAGTTAAAAACATACCGAGTTGCTGCCTCAGAACTGAGAAATGGCGAATAATGAATCTGTTAGACGACATCTGGATGCTTTATATTTTAAATTACCCGAAAAAATCTGGTCGAATCATTGGGAAGTTGGAGGAAGGCCGCAGTGTGACAAGTGTGGCTGCAGAGTTCGGAATTGCTCACAGCATCGTTTCACGACTTTGGAGACAATTTCAAACTACAGGAACAGCTAGCCAGGGGTTCAGTAGTGGTCGTCCACGAGGAACCACACCCGCAGATGACCGGTACATTGTCTTACAGGCCAGAAGAAACAGGCGACAGACAGCGGAAGAAATCGCTAGAAAATTGTACACACGACACAGGCGACTGGACGACCGATATCGCGTTTTACCGTGGCCAGAAGACTTTTGCACGGTGGTGGTCTGTTTGCACGACGCCCTGTACGGTGTGTACCTTTAACGCCTGCCCATCGGAGAAGGCGTTCTTTGTGGTGCCGGGAACACCGGAATTAGAGAGACAATGAATGGGGACGAGTACTCTTTTTTAAAGATGAGATCAGATTCAGTTTGAGTAGCGATTCTCATCGCATACTCATCTGGAACAAACAAATGCGGAAGCCGCAATCATCCCTCGAACATCATTGAAAGGGACAGGTATGGAGGTCGCGGTGTTCTTGTTTGGGGAGGCATCATGCTTGGTAGTCGTACAGACCTTCACATCTTCGACACAGGTTCAGTCAACGGGACCTGTTATTTAACGAAAATTCTTCTTCCATATGTGCGTCTTTTTTTAGAGGCGCTATGAGTCTGCGGTTCCTTTTCATGGACGACAATGCACCATGTCATCGCACAGTAGCTGCCGAACAGCTCTTAGAATTTGAGTGAGGATATTGAACGTATGGATTGGCCGGCACGATCTCAAATGGATCTCAATCCCATCGAGCATGTATGGGATTTTCTTAATAAACGCTTGGCAGCTCGTACCTTACCACCAGTAACGATTCGGGAGCTTCGATTGGCGCTGCAAGACGAATGGGCAGCAATGCCTCAACAACTCATTGACACCCTCATTCTCAGCATGGGCAGACGCTGTGAAACCTGCCTAGCAGTCAGGGGAGATCATATCCACTACTAAAGACCGGATGTTTCTTGCTGGACACCCATCACAGGGATGTTTCGGCTTTCAGTCGCATTGCGTTCCATGCTACTTTTTCAATAAAGTTCTTTTTATCCCTCTGATTTCTTTTTAGTAAGTGTTGCTTACATATTACACATGTCCTTACGTATTGGGGATCTTACGGTATTAAATGTGTTGATTTGGAAAGCTTTTGTACAAAGTTATATTGAAATTTAATTTTTGCACACCAGTGTATATATATACATAATTTTAATAATAATAACTAACTTTTTTTTTACAATTAAGTCTTCTTCAATCAACTTACTTTTAAAATGTGCTCAAGAATTTTTATCCACAAAATGTAAAAATGTTAGTACCAAATAAATATGTTAATATAACACAACAAATATCTGGAAGAAAAAAAACGAAATGGATTGATTTGTGAGGAGTCAAAAAAACTATCATTCCATTTAAGATAATAAGCTCATGAATTTAAAAGTGAACAATGATGATAGAAAGCAGGTGCAAAACGCAAATGAAAATTTCGTGCAGCAGATTCGTGCCGATCTGAAGTTTTTAAACTGCACACAGGGTTTGCAATTTCACTGTTTGAATACGTAATTGAAGAGGCTTAAAATCATCACGCTCAACTAATTCGCTTGGCGAATTCTCTTGCGCGTTCTATTTCGAATCATACGAGTACTTGATGCCATTCCAAAGAGAGAAAAAAAACAGAAAAAAAGAAACTTGAAAGGAAGATTTTGTCACAAGTCACAAAAAAGCTTTTCATATTCATTAGGTCTTCCCGCAAAAGAAAGGGGCAGTGTTATGAAAAGGGGAAAAAATAATAAATAAATAAAATAAATCTGCCTAAAACCAGTTACTTTATGTCACGACCCAAGCTTCTAATTTCTCTTTTGCTTTTATTTATTCTCGTCATAGAACGTCTTCGGCGTTTCCTTGGTAACCAAGAGTTTGTTGTCAGATTAGAAAGATAACATTTGAGATTGAAATACATTTTCCACTTAAGGACGACATTTATTATTATTATTTTTTTGAAGTGGATCGTTTATTAAATTAGTAATGCGTTTGCGTGGGTTATTTAAATATTCCATTATTTAAGTCGAATAAAACAAACGTTCTTTTCTTGTGTTCGAATCTATCAAGACGTCTCTTAAGTGACTTGTTTACAGATATTAATATAGGGTGTTTTTTTATTCTGCAGGAAAATGTTTACTTGAAATTGGATATTTGTTTTTTCGTTCTTAGAATAGCATTGTACTGCTTATTAAATCTGTTGCGAATTTGTGATGTTTATTTGTTTGTTCTAAATAAAACTTAGACAATAAAGGCTGCTTAAAATACTGGAGAGTATGTTCTTGTAGGTATTTTCTCTGCTATTATGGATGTAGAATGACGGTCCAGTACTCATCCGAGATAAAAACAAAGACGAAGGCACAGTTTATATTTAAAAATATTCAATTATTGAAAAAGGTGCTGGCGCAAACATATAATAAAATTAAACAGAGGAAAGGAATCACAAGAAGAGGGTGATTGCCGCCCTTAATATTAGTTAGAAAATATGAAGAATTCCAGCGGCGTACACAAAGGGGGTTGACCCTCCCCTCCAACCAACAGATTTTAATTTTTTACCATAGATATTATCCACTGGCACTTCCGTCTACATGTTTTTCAGAATGTTTCTTCCCTCCCCCTCCCCCTCCAACCAACAGATTTTAATTTTTTACCATAGAGATTATCCACTGGCACTTCCGTCTACATGTTTTTCAGAATGTTTCTCCCCCCCCATCCGCTCTTAGAGAGGTCTGTATAAGCCACTTTTGTTAAATACAGTTTAATTGATTTCATATTTAAAGAAATGTAAGTGCATATGCACTTCCACTCCCAGTGGCGTAATGGAGAATATGAGGGCCCCCTGCAAAGTCAGGTTTTGCCTTTAATATTTTATAAATTGGTTAAATACGTATTTGGCAAGGGGGAAAGCTTTGGACCTCCTAGAATTCTGCCCCATCAGCTATGTGAGGGTGTACATTACGCCACTGGATTAGATTACAAATAACTTATGTTACGATTGAAAGACAATAACAAATGAGTGTGCTCCACACCGCCCTGCGCGCTACGACCGATCACTCACATTTGTTCGTAGTCCTTCATAGTGAACTTTGTTATTTTGGCTAAAATGCAAACCGTTTTGGTCGGTGGCGTGCCCAAAATATTGCGTCACGTGCCATTGGTTCGCCATCCCTGGTATAGAGTATGTACAGGTTTCTTCAGTTATTTAGGTGCAACGTGTATTTAGAAATCGCTATGAAAAAGAAGCACAAATCAACAACAGCTCCGATGGTATCATCAAGTTAAGAAAACAGGTTGCTTGTGTAAAAAGAAAAGCAGCGGCTGGCCAAGCGTCTCGGAACAAACAATGGAGAGGATGGGGCAGAGTTTTGTTCGAAGTTCACGGAAGTCTACGAGAGTTGCCGCCTGTAAACTCTGGATGCCCCAGAACAATGGTATGAAATATTTTACTAAAAATATAAATTTCAAGCCGTATCAATTGCAATTGACACAACACGTAACAAAGGACGGACGACAAGTAAGCATTTATGCAGCATTACGAACCATTGATAGAGTGATGCTACAAACTGTACGGAACGAACTGGATTATAGATTGGAGATATGCCGTGTAGTCAGGTGTGTTGCTACTGCCGTATCAGCCGTATCAATGATACGGGGACCCTCAAGTTACAGGGGCCCCAACATGTATAACTACAATCCAAATATAGGTTTCTCATTTCTAAAAAGGGGCACAGATGGAATTTTGATACAGGGCCCACTCAAAACTAGCTACTCCAGTGCGTACAGCATCCAACATTAGTAGGAGAAAAAAACTTGGTATACGTATTTCTATTAACATTGTGGCGGGGCTTTATCGCGACTTCTATTAATAAACCTCTAACCTCTTGGGAAAACTTTGGGGCCAGAATGGCAATTCTTTGCAACCAACCCAAGAAGAGAACGTGATTATGTAGATTAGGAAGTGTACATATTGGAGCTTTTGTATTCGCGGGGGGTTCCCTGAGTTCTGATAGTGAGTTCTAAGGAGGAGGTCTAATAGTGCTGGGGAAGTTTTAGGAGAGTGCTAGGAGAGTT